TCCGATGCTCCCAACAAATATACCTACATTTCCAAAACTGTATGTCATTTTTGTTGATCAATGTGACCATACGTCCTTCTACTATCAATAAAAATGCGCTTACGAATGGCGAGGACAGGTCGCGAACAAGTCTAGATTTCTGCTATATCATCCGGGTACTCACTGGGAAAATAAAGCAATGCACAGGTAACAATTACTCCCGCGGAATTGCTTTAGATCAGTGCTCCTTTGTACGTTGACATACTATATATTGTGAATGCCAAAATGATGTATCAAGGATCAACTAGAAGATGCATTGACCGTAGCTGAGAGTTTATTCAACAGACCCGTGAAAATAACACTTCTCTATAATTTATTTTAGATGACGCAGTCAAAGCTCAACTGTTTACTTCTCCTGGCGGCCATTATCGAACGGCCAGCTAAAACACAACCCCGCGCTTACGTCTCTTCCTGTAGTACGGTAATTAGTATTCTCTCCCTCAAGTGTATCCTCAATGATATAACCCACCCTCATTAATTTCATGCTGCTCTTTTCCAGCCTCACGGATATGGAGCTGAGATAAAGAGTCCAAGTCATTATAAATTAATTAGGGTCCAATAAGAACAATGCGCTGCCAAACCTCATACATTTTATCACTGAAAGTCGTACCACAGTAGGTTAATGTCAAATCACAATAAAAGCATTTCAATTGCAATAACATGTTCCAGGACCATGTACTCTCTTAACACCATTGGATGTAGAAGCAATGGTCGTATAAAACAAGACAGATTTATTTAATCACAACAGTATTCATGTTATTCCCACAACATCACATAAAGAAAGGAGACATTAGCAAATACATGTGTATTATCATTTTTCTTCAGGATAACAAAAATTTCTCTCATTACCACCTCCAGGTTCTGCTTAACACGGGTCTGTTCCCCCTCTAATGAGTGTGTCACGCGTTGCACACGAGTGGCGGACGGGGTGCACACCCGTGTGCAACGCGTTGCACACGGGTATCACACGCGTGACCAACCCGATGCACACTGGTTACGTAACGCGTTGCCCCTGCGTGTAAGGGGAATGAACTTCTAGGCAGTAGTGTAGGTCGAGATGACATGAACTGGAATAATTCCAACACGCAACGCTGAGGCACAGATAATTTGAAACCTGTTATTCAATGTGTTTGTGTTGTTGCCAAGGAACCAGGTGGAGTTTGTCAAGCCTGTTGTTCAATATACGACACTTTTATAGTGATCTGACAATGCATTGCTTGTTTGTGTACTCGTTTCCTAGGTTATAATGATTTCCTACTAAAGCTTTAAAGGAAATAGTCACAATAGATGGGAATGAATTGGAATAATTCTTGCATGAGAATTATTTTATATCACATCACATTTCCAAGGTATGGAAGTCACCGCCCACTGTACTGACGTGACAAGTCGACTCTTTACATACGTCTTCATTGCAAAATTCCCAGTCACTGCCCACAGTACTGTTGTGACAAGTCGACTCTTTACATACATGTTTTCATTGCATACTTCCTAATCACCGCCCACTGTAATAACATGACAAGTCGACTCTTCTCATACAGGTCTTCATTGCATAATTCCCAATCGACGCCCACAATACTAGCGTGACAAGTCGACTCTTTACATATATGTCTTCATTGCATAATTCACAATCATCGCCCCCTGTACTGACGTAACAAGTCGACTCTTTACATATATGTCTCTCATTGTATAATTCCCAATCATCGCCCACTGTACTGACGTGACAAGTCGAATCTTTACTTAGATGTCTTCATTGCATACTTCCCAATCACTGCCCACTGTAATAACATGACAAGTCGACTCTTTACATATATGTCTTCATTGCATGATTCACAATCATCGCCCCCTTTACTGACGAAACAAGTCGATTCTTTACCGACAGGTCTTCATTGCAAAATTCCCAGTCACTGCCCAATGTACTGACATGACAAATTGACTCGCCACATATATGTCTTCATTGCATAATTCCCAATCATCGCCCACTGTACTGACGTGACGAAGTCGACTTTCTACATAGAGGTCTTCATTTCATAATTCCCAATCACCTCCAACTGTACTGACGTGACAAGTCGACTCTCTACATATATCTTTATTGCATATTCCGAATCACCGCCCACTGTACTGACGTAACAAGTCGACTCTTTACATACAGGTTCTTCATTGCAAAATCCCCAGTCACTGCCCACTGTACTGACGTGACAAGTCGACTCTCTACATATGTCTTCATTGCATAATTCCCAGTAACCGCCCACTGTAATAACATGACAAGTCGACTCTTCTCATACAGGTCTTCATTGCATAATTCCCAATCGACGCCCACAGTACTAGCGTGAGAAGTCGACTCTCTACATATGTCTTTATTGTATAACTCCCAATCATCGCCCCCTGTACTGACGTACGAAGTCGACTCTTTACATACAGGTCTTCATTGCATAACTCCCAGTCACCGCCCATTGTACTGATGTGACAAGTCGAATCCTTACATTTGTCTTCATTGCATAATTCCCAATCGACGCCCACAATACTAGCGTGACAAGTCGACTCTTTACATATATGTCTTCATTGCATAATTCACAATCATCGCCCCCTGTACTGACGTAACAACTCGACTCTTTACTTACAGGTCTTCATTGCATAATACCCCATTATCGCCCCCTTTACTGACGAAACAAGTCGATTCTTTACCGACAGGTCTTCATTGCAAAATTCACTGCCCAATGTACTGACATGACAAATTGACTCTCCACATATATGTCTTCATTGCATAATTCCCAATCATCGCCCACTGTACTGACGTGACGAAGTCGACTTTCTACATAGAGGTCTTCATTTCATAATTCCCAATCACCTCCAACTGTACTGACGTGACAAGTCGACTCTCTACATATATCTTTATTGCATATTCCAAATCACCGCCCACTGTACTGACATGACAAGTCGACACTTTACATACAGGTCTTCATTGCATAATTCCCAACCATCGCCCACTGTACTGACGTAACAAGTCGACTCTTTACATACAGGTTCTTCATTGCAAAATCTCCAGTCACTTCCCACTGTACTGACGTGACAAGTCGACTCTCTACATATGTCTTCATTGCATAATTCCCAGTAACCGCCGACTGTAATAACATGACAAGTCGACTCTTCTCATACAGGTCTTCATTGCATAATTCCCAATCGACGCCCACAGTACTAGCGTGACAAGTCGACTCTCTACATACAGGTCTTTATTGTATAACTCCCAATCACCGTCCACTGTACTGACGTGACAAGTCGACTCTTTACATACAGGTCTTCATTGCAAAATTCCCAGAAACTGCCCACTGTACTAACGTGACAAGTCGACTCCTTACCTGTATGTCTTCATTGCATAATTTCCAATCACAGCCCACTGTACTAACGTGACAAGTCGACTCTCTACATATGTCTTCATTGCATAATTCCCAGTAACCGCCCACTGTAATAACATGACAAGTCGACTCTTCTCATACAGGTCTTCATTGCATAAGTCCCAATCGACGCCCACAGTACTAGCGTGACAAGTCGACTCTCTACATACAGGTCTTTATTGTATAACTCCCAATCACCGTCCACTGTACTGACGTGACAAGTCGACTCTTTACATACAGGTCTTCATTGCAAAATTCCCAGAAACTGCCCCCTGTACTAACGTGACAAGTCGACTCCTTACCTGTATGTCTTCATTGCATAATTTCCAATCACAGCCCACTGTACTAACGTGACAAGTCGACTCTCTACATATGTCTTCATTGCATAATTTCCAATCACAGCCCACTGTACTAACGTGAGAAGTCGACTCTCTACATATGTCTTCATTGCATAATTCACAATCATCGCCCTGGTACTGACGTGACAAATCGACTCTTTACATACAGGTCTTCATTGCAAAATTCCCAGTCACCGCCCCCTTTACTGACGTGACAAGTCGACTCTTTACATACAGGTCTTCATTGCATAATTCCCAATCACCACCCTCTGTACTGACGTGACAAGTCGACTCTCTACATATGTCTTCTTTGCACAATTCCCAATCACCGTCCACTGTACTAACGTGACAAGTCGAACCTCTACATACAGGTCTTCATTGCATAATTCCCAGTCACCGCCCACTGTCCTGACATGACAAGTCGACTCTTTACAGAAATGTCTTCTTGGCATAATTCCCCATCACTTTCGACTTTCTGTAGTGGTGGTAGTTGTACCCGTTGTAATCCTAGTTCTAGACATTAACTTGTAGCTGTAGTAGTGGTAGTAGTGGTAGTTCTAGTTGTTGTGGTTGTCGTGGTTGTTGATGTGGAAATGTTTATTTATCTGGAGCCATAGCTGGTCTATCAACGAGACAGATGTATCCGAATGTCCTCTTGTGAAACCGTGCATGTTTTTCAGGGCCGAACATCTGTCACCAGTAGCGGTAGTATAAGGATTTTGAGCGATCTCGGGACACAAAGATGGTTACATGCGTCAATACGTTTCTTCTATTTAAACTGCTAACGAGGAACTTATTGTTGAGGCAATTGCATGGACATTGTTGAAAATAACACTGATAAACTGAAATGAATTAATTACACAACAAAGGTATTGGGGACAAGGCAATAACACCTGCTTATAGATTAAATAAATCCGCCACTTATGTGAGTTGAACGCCAGTCCACAAAATAGCTAATTATCTATTCTCATAGAAATAAGATGATATATAGTTCACGTATATTTCAGTGAAGTGGAAAACTGTCCTATGTACAGACCAGTACATGAGATTAAGGCCAAATGCCGGTTTTATAGAAAATGAATTTCTTCCCTCTTACCGTCGCCGCTTGAATATCACGTGCTTTCTCCTTTGAATTGCACAGACGTATGACGTATTCGTATCGATATGGGGTGGGCTCACCCGGTCTGGTCATGTGACATATTGTTACTGAAGGGTAACAGTATAAAGGCTGCGACTGGCGTAATGCGGTGCTACATTTAGAACTAGACCTGGATTCTTGCAGTGTTTGGTCACAGCTGGTGAGTATAGCTGATTCTTTTACTGCTGATATATTGTTTGAAACCACGCCATAGAATGCATTCATTCACGTGAATATGTGTTTGAAAGCTCAACATTTTACTTGAACACCATGAAGACGGGAGGGAAACAACTAATAACGCCAGCACTAATGACCAGCAGACGCCCGCCTAAGTGTACAACAGTAGTGTGCATATCAGTCATCAAAACTCCAGTCACTTTAATGTTGATGCAATTTAAGTTTTGCTATCTGTGTATGTGTACCTCAACAGTGATTCCAAGTGAGCTATACCATATGCGTCTCTACACTGTTGCGTCCAACACCACTACCAGGGATTGCCTAAAAGTCGGGCCAAGAAAAGTCGGTGTACTGTGTTTTCTTAAGAAAATCTCTGTCAGAAGTGACCAAACACTTCTGACAGAGATTTTCTTAAGACAATACAGTAAAAATGCTTCACTTTGAGCCCCTTTTTTTCTTTAAAAACGATGTACCGTGACATTATAAAGTGGTATATAGGTAGATATAACACTAATCTATAGATGTAAACACATTTGCAGATACATCTGTGTGTTTAAAGTTGATTTCCCCTTCTTTTCTTTATGTACAGCGATCTGAGACACTATAAAGTAGTATTTAGGTAGATATTATACTAGTTTTTAGATGTGAATCCATTTGATGATACATATGTGAGTTTAAAGTTGAATTTGACAGCCCCGGCCAAGTCGGACCGAACACTTGTGTGACTGTTGAGAGTATAGGGAGAAGAGGTCTACTTTAACCAACGTGTCTGCTTTAAATACGACTATCAGTGACATTATAAAGTGGTATTTACTTATATATAGTACGTTCCTATCAATATAAACGCTATGCCGACAGATGGAAATTTGTATCGAGATAGCTAGAAGTATTTGATCTGTCAAATTTCTCTTTTACATGTTACCAAGATTAGTGACGCTTACACACAGCTCCACTTTCTGGTTTGCAAGCGATTTACTCCGAATTACTTATTTATGGTGCAATTTTTTGTTTGGTGATTGTTCATTAATGTCATGTGTGTATGTTGCATCATTTATATGTAGGTATGATCGCCGATAATAAAGTAATTAGCCAGTAACGCTTTGGCCCGTCTTGGCCCGGCCCGGCCTGACTCTTAGACAATGCCAAGTTCCATCTCAAGTATGTAGTTCACCAATAAATATACTCTTCAGAAAAAGAAACTTGACACTGACTTTCAAAATGTTATTTAATGCGAATGTTTCAAAATAGGACACAGAAACCATAATTGAAACATTGTTTAAAGATCAATGTACACAATGTTCAAAACGTTAATCGTGTCACCTAGATAGACACACGTACACGATACAGTTAATGTCACAGGGGTACAGAAAATGTCAGTATCGTTTGCGCCCACCACGTGCATCAATCACCGCTTGACACCGACGACCCATAGATGCAATCAAGTTGTCAATACCACGCTGTTGGATCTGCTGCCATTCATGCTGAAGTGCATCAAGAAGCGCCGGAAGTGTTTGGGGCGGTGGATTCCTTCTGCGAACGCGTCGATCCAACTCGTCCCACAGATGCTCCACCGGGGACAAATCTGTTGACCAGGCTGGCCAATGTAATGTCTGGATGTTGTTGTGCTGTAAGAAGTCCTGACAAACACGTGCAATATGCGGTCGAGCGTTGTCCTGCTGGAACTGTCCGCCATGAACGTTGACGTGAGGAAGAACGTAAGGCTGTAGGACCAAGTCTCTGTAACGGACACCTGTCAATGCACCTGCCACATGCACGAGAGGCGTCCTACCACCGTGATGAATTCCGGCCCATACCATGACACTCCCGCCGCCAAATGGGACAACCTGCTGCACGCAGTTGGGGGCGTAACGTTCAACCCGACGTCTGTAGACACGTGCGCGCGCATCAGCACGTGTGAGTAGGAAACGGGACTCGTCAATAAACAGTACATTTATCTCTCCACCTTGCACGTGCCCATCTAACACTCTGTTGGCACCAAAGCAGACGGTCCGCCAGATGACGTAGGGTCAATACATGACGTCGAACAAATCTTCGTGCAAAAGGGCCAGCCCCCCTCAGTCTGTTGCGTACCGTTTGATCTGATATTCTGCGTACCCAAGGGATCTGTGTGGTTGTAGACGTGGCTGTGGTAGTGCGGTCTCCGAGGTGTTGCAGCCGGGTGTATCGATCTTGTGCCTCTGTTGTCACCCTTGGTCTTCCTGATCTTGGTCTGTCGTCAACTCTGTTGGTGTTGTTGTATCGGGTCAACAGTGCGGAGATTGTCTGTCTGGATACGTCAAAGTGCCTGGCCACTTCTTGCTGAGTTGCTCCAGCTTGTAATCTCCCAATGGCGTTATTCCGTTGAGCTGCATTCAGTCTTAGCATTCTGTCACCGCCTCTACTGTCGTTATAAGGACTGTATGAACAGCCGTTGATGTGGATTTTTATACCATTCAGCAGGGGGGCCTGCATGCCTAAATGCATGATCCTGTGCTGCACGTTTTTTACAGGCGGTTGCGTTTGGATGAGCTGTAACATGATCCCCAAATGCTACGTTTATGTGCTTTGCATGTGTTTTCGCGAATTATAGACCCATCATCTTTCTTTTTGACTTATTTGGTTCTCGTTTAATGTAATTATTTTAGATATTTGGCAAAAAGTGGTTTTACATCTATGTCAAGTTTCTTGTTTTGAAGAGTAGACCTGTGTTACTGGGATCACCCTATCAAACGTACAGCAATTTTATAAGCAGTGACACGTTACACATGTACATACATACATTTTACATCTAAAACAAGACAACCCACACAGAAAAAATACTGTCCACGAAGATCACAGTCAGCATACGTGTCTATTGTGAGATTGGAATCAGCTTTGATGAATGCTATAAAAGATCGAACACTTATGTCTATGTATTTCCCAAACCCTATAAACAGACCTGAAATACACCAAAACGGAATGATTTATTGTACTTTAAGATCAAAAGGTTCAACAGTTTAATCCATAACTCTGAGGAGGAATTACTTAATTCATTATTATCAGTATTAGTATTAGTATTAATATTAGTATTAGTATTATTATGCACAGATTAAAACAAAAAAATGCAGCAAAGAGGGTTTCAGTTATTCTGGCTCAGCCAGGCTGGTTAGGCTCCTCATCAGCTCAGGGCCCTTGTCCCCTCTACAAAAACGCAGCTCAGATAGTGAACTTCTGGGACTTCTCCCAGGAAGTGATGCCCAGTCAAATCCACCCAGAACTTTTCGGAGAATGTGAAGCCTCTGCAACACTGCAGCCTTCTGCATTACCCAGGTTGTCAGAAGGGATATATTCCTGGTAGCAAATCCGCGTACTCTCCCAATGTCAGTCAACTGATTTGGAGGTACCAAACCTAAGGCACCGATAACAATGGGGAGTCGAAGGCACCAAGAACAATGGAGAGTCAGACAACTTGGTACTTGGGATGCACGCATGACTTTTCTAAAGTGAGGTCTGCATATTTGCCATGCTTTTTCCTGAATCTTGTCAATAACATTAGTGTCAAAAGGGACAGAAAATTCAATAATATAAATGATTTCTTTGGATTTATCAAAAAGGACAAGATCAGGTTTTTTGGCTTGGAGACATCTGAGGCTGTTCAAATGTCCAGGAATCAAGCTGAATCTTGATCAGATGAAGCAGCTATTAAAACTGCTTTAACGCCATGCCAGACTTCTTGTCTGGATATTCGACCGTTTTGGTAAAATACTTTTTTATTTGGACCGTCGATATTGGTCACATGTTGTTTGTTGGGATTGTGTGGCACATGGCAACGGACTTTTGTTTATTAATCTTTATAAACCACTTAAAGTGGTGGTCCTTAGCAAGCCGTGAGTAGTATATGTCTTCAAATTGTTGTTGGAATTGAGCCTTGGAGTTTTGTTATGTATTGTCAGACGATTGCGTGAAATATGCTGAAACATTACGATGTTTTAAGAGACGTACTGGCACTTAATAAGAGACACAATATTTTGGAAGGTATAATAAGCATGGGAGCAGAAGCTAGTCACTGGAGGACACGTAAGCCGTGACCAGAAATAAGTGGCGACGGTCCCTTCAAAGGAACTATATATATCCGGGAGTGTTCGTACGTTTAAGTTCAACCGATCCCAGACCCAAACGGTTGTTAATTCGACCATCCCAGCTCATACATTTAATCTTAAAACCATCAATGACGTGAGAGATGAGGCGGTCAGACGTCATCGTATCCCAATTGCGTGGGTCCATGCTCATGATATCAATCACTGGATTGTCTGGTCCAGACTCGATAATTTACAAACCGCTGTCGTACAGCTGTGCGGCATTAAACAACAAGCAAACAAAACAAAAAACAAAAATAAGTGCAGTCACGTCTCGTTTATCCGACACTTGTTAATCCGACAATCGGCTTCATCCGACACTAATGATTGGAACCGATTAAATCAGTGCTATTTAGACCCGTTAATCTGACAGTCTGGCACTCCGGTCCAGACTCGATAATTTACAGACCGCCGCCGTATAGCTGGAATATTGCTGAGTGCGGCGCTAAAAAACAAGCAAACAAAACAAAAAAACAAAAATAAGCACGTATATATACGGTCCTGACCGACCAGAGATTCTACGACAGATTCACCGCGTAAGACACTAGACCGAGCAGAACGTCTGTTACCTTTACAAAGACCCACTACTATTTTGATGATTGGTGGTACCAGCAGTTGAGAAACCTATCTCAATAAAAGAGCCTTGCAGAATGCTGATGTGATGGTTGATAAGCCGCCTAACTGGATAGTGTACTGTCATGTGGTATGGCAAGACATTTATACAGAAATGAAGGAAGTAATTCCTAATACTCTGTTTCAAGACATTCTACCAACAGGCAAGAACTGTGCTCTTGGTCTACAGGATAGGATCTTAACACTGGATGATTTGATGATGGAAGTTTTCAAAAGCCGTCTCAGGTTAATGTCTACATCTTATCTAATCATCTCGGTCTCATGACCATCAACATACTGCAGTCAGCCTACCACAAAGGTGAATGTAACAGAAGCATATCACGGTACACACATCTATTTATCTTACTGTCAACCCTCTGGTTCAATGCACGAATACAAAATTGTAGCTTTTAATAATTCCCGACCAACCTTCATCTTTCTCCGAATGATTAGGTGTGATGCCGTAGAAGGCAAGAAATATGGCTATTGACACCAGTCCCTGTAGCGACCAGCAGTAAGGCCAACTGCAGACGCCTATTTCCCAATAAATAACTTTGTATTTACTGAAAGACTAAAGTATTATAAATAGTCGAGATTTTCCTGAAACGTTGTCACTCCACTGCTGTCATGAGCAAGGTCTGTCTGTGAAGCATCGTAGCCATCCCACCAGGCGAACCAGAGACATTTTTTCATAGATTCCACAACAGTTTCAGACGAAATCGGAGTGTACCCAATCCTTGACTCGTGCTTACAAGGGTTTTGGGGTTGAGATATCCGACTGCTGGGAAGAACCTACTCTTTCCTATTATCGAGGTCTCTTGTCAGACATGACTGATCGTGGATCGTGATCGTAATTCTAGTATAGGACGTGAGCAGGATTGCACTTTCTCAGGATTGAACACCCAGCATGATAAACGTGTCTGCAGAACTTTAAGTACACGTTTTCTTTTATCTTGTCATTTTATGTTATCGTTTTTGAATAATAATTCTGTAGAACATCACCTGTTGCCAAGTTTTGCGTCTGTTCTCTTTTAGACCAGAAAATTGGTTGGTGGCGTTTCTTTTGCCCGTAGTGTGACACTACATATTATTCTTCATGTGTCCATTTCATTGCAGAGTTCATGTTACTTTCCACGTGAGTTCACACTGCTTTGCACATAGGGTTGTGATTCAATGCCATCGTCCAAAAGATGCTGCTTGTCATCTAGAGGCGTCAATGTCACTTTATGAGTTTTATGGTGTGTCATTCATGAATACACAATGCCATTTAGTTACATTTAGTTACATTTGACCCCTTTCTAAATGGTATTGTGTATTCATAGCTTTTTGGCCATGGGAGCCGTGCCAATTAACACTTGTCAGGAGGGTACTCAAAGTACGTGATCTAGACTACCAGTTGTCGGACTTCCATTTTTGTGGAAGACTCGGTGGCTGAGTGGGTTAGATCGCTGACTTTGTGTGCTGGCGATTAGGTGCCTCCCCCTGTAAGGTGTGGGTTCGAATCACGGACGGGACTCAACCAAAAAAAGTAATAGAATCTGTAATTTACTAAAAAAGTGTTATCCCAAATATAACATTTGTTACATTTGACCACTTTCTAAATGGCATTGTGTATTCATAATCACTGTCAGTGTTATAAAATAGTGTTTTTATATTCTAATCACGATATGCTGCACTTCATTTAATGATACTGGTGATCATGGACATTTGTGAAACAATTCATGTCGTTTTTTCGTGATTGCTGTATACAGGGCATATAGTACAGGTTAATTATGATTTGTTAGTGTGAAATGATGTGCAAGATAATGTAAATACACTATGAAAAAATTACATAAATATTGACTAAAGTGTTTCATAAAAAAAAAATAGTCCTTGTTGCTTGATATCGTGAAACCTATTTCCTCATGTTAGTGAGCGGACGGCCACTATTAGAATTATCGGGAAATGGGTGAAAACAGATATCATTTGTAATTCTTTTTAAAATAATTGTCCGATTACGTAAACAATGAAACTAAAAAAGAAAAAAGTAAGTGGGTTCTATAAAATTTAATATTTGCCAAAAAATCGTTAAATTCTCGCTTCTTTGGTCCTTAATCTCGACGTAATGAATGTGTTAGCTTACATTATTTTAATTAAAACGAACTTAATTAAGTTGTTAATGAATTATTTAAATAATGTAATACACACAACTTTCATATTTATTAATAGGATTAATTAGACCTTTCATAGTGTTTGGCCAAACATGTAGCAGCAAAGATGTTTTACAAGCAGATAATTTCCTTGATAAATGTTGGCTTCATCTATAACACAAGAGTCTCTTGGAACTCACTGTCACAGCAGTAATCTTCTGGTTGGCTGGTGTTGAAAGACTTAATCGTCGCCCATCCTGCCAAAATAGCACCCATGACATGAATATTGTTATATTGCCATTTGTGCACAAGCTGAGTGCAAAGAATATGATGAAATATTCTTGAAAAAATGAGTTGTGTTAAGAACTCATTCTGTGTCCAGAATATTTTTATTATACCTACCTAATATTTAAGAACAAAATTCGAGTAAACAAAATCTGAGAAGCTTTTATTACTTTTTCAAATTGACCTACCTCACTTTTGAAATGAGTTTGAAAACCGTAAGCCAAGAAATAAAAAAAAATGTCCCTTAAATGCTTAACTGCAGAAAGCATTTGGATGTGTCCTTTAAAGGCTGTGTCATTTTGACCATGGCTCTTCATGAGTTATTCTTGCATTTCTTATTTTCTGAATGTCCACATTACCCACCGCTACTTGATATCTCAAAGGATAAGTGATCAAAATGTCTTTACTGGTTTTGGAAGATAACTGCGAATACTACCGGAAATAGAATAACAGTGCTTCAAAATAAAGTTCAATGAAAATAAATATATTCTGAAATTAATTTGTCAATACATATTCATGAACACATCTCCTCGACTTGATGCTGGATGCTTGCGTGCATGTTCGGATCATGGTACTCACACACTTGTACTTATTAAAAAAACACTTACAGGTAGGTAGTGTCAGGTCAGTTATGCAAAGTTGGACCAAGATCTCCCATGCTGTTTTCACTCATCTGGTGTCTTCAATGCACTGCCACTGCCACCTGTATCATGAATCAACGCAGATGAAGGTCATACACGATGTTGACATTGTTACACCCCCATTCCGTCTTTCATGGCGTGTCCTTCTGTCTTTTCTACCAGGTATGGGTTTTGTCAATGAATTTGTTATGATATAACGTTAATGAGACGAATGACCAAATAATAAGTTGCCATTTTAAATATCATAACATTTACACTACTTTCTATGAAGCACAGTTACCTTGTTTCCGTATAAAAGTCATCATGTTAAATGTGGGAAGAATATATATGTCCAAACCACACAAAAGTACTATCAATTTCGTCCATTCGGGTTTTGTACGGGATTCTAAAGTCTTAAATAATTCCATACAAGGATAGATATATACATCCACCCCTATGAATTCCAGTGACGTGAACATAACGCTAGCTGTTTGTATTTAGAATATTTGAAAGATATATAATTACATCTATGTGTATAAAGATACAGGACAATTTGTCAAACATTAAAGTAAATGTCATTTGAATTTGTTTCAGAAAATAGTATGTGACTTCCTCATTGACAACATTTGGGGGTAAAACATGTGGGAAAGAAGCAGGCATCCACATGGGCACAATGTTTTTCCTGTGCATGCTGATCTGTTTCTTCGTGCACATTAGTCGGAATTTCTGCTCGGTTTGACAAAATAAAAAACAAGGACATTTGGCCAAGAAGTTCAATTTAAGCTTCAGGTACATCAATGATCACATGTCTTTCGATACCGGTCCAACACACAAAAACCTTTCACTGACCAATGAAAATGTCCCATCTCTCTCATATTAACATTCATGCCTAAATATTCAGAGTAACATAACACTATCCGTAAGACTGTATGACAAGTGGGATGTCTTCATATTTCTAATAGTCAACTTTTCCTTCATGTGTAACAATATTCCGACCGCCTCCGTCGTCTAGTGATAGAGCATCCGCCCGGAGCGCAGAAGGTTCGGCGTTCGATCCCCGGCCACATTATACCAAAAGACGTTAAAATATGGTACTTGTTGCTACCCTGTCTGGGGCTTTGCATTAAGGGGCTAAACAAGTACTAGTCGGCTCGAAGTCAGTGTACTGTGTCTAATTGGGATATTCATGTTAAACTGTGGCATGGTATCTTAGTAGGTCCGGACATGTACAAGTAGCCACAGGCACACAGCAATTCCAGCTTTTGGTGTCTACAATGTTAGGTATAATCGATCACACTCTTTTTGTGAAGATTTCAAAGCCTTCATACAAGTCTTGCTCGAAGGATGTTACATCAGGATGAAGTAAAACATTTAAAATATTGTTTGGAGAATAATTCCAAATTTGACATGGTTGTATTTTGGTAGGATATGCTCGCTTTTTACCGAACACCTTGTATTATCACTATTGAAAATTATTTGTTGCCCTTATTTGAGTTTGTCTTTGCATACCTTTTGCACACACAGCAGCATTGTAAGAAGTTAGGGTTCAGGCCATTACTAGTGAGGCATGTGGACGATATGGGTCACATGTTTAATGTCTGATTACCTGCTGTCATACTCACAACCAACATTTAGCTGAGTAACTTTCACTTTTCTCCCTGCAGGTTTACCAGTGTACGTCATCTACACTTTGGAGCTCAACACCACAATTCCCACAGACGGTTTACCCACTGTATAGGCCTTTGTTACAAGAACGTCCATCTCAGGTTAGGTACTTTTTGTGGTATGCCGTGACACTAAAGATTACACATGCTCATGAATTTAGGTGTCTTCCAATTGACATGACGAGAGCAAAGATAAAAAAACAAGATTGGTTCTTGTGGGTAAAGAAGTAATCACTTTTTCTAAGTTGGATCAATGAATGAATGAATGAATGAATAATTGAATTAAAGGATGAATGAATGAATGAATGAATGAATGAATGAATGAATGAATGAATGAATGAATGAATGAATGAATGAATGAATGAATGAATGAATGAATGAATGATTACACGTTTTAAACTTTATATATTATTCATGCTTATCATATAACAGCGGTGGCCTTGTAAAGCGATGAAGTTATTCAAATTCTGATTACAGATGGGGAAGCTTGCCATGAAGAACCCTCGGCTATTCGACAGCATCCAAGCAGACAGAGAAGGAAAACATGTCACAGGATTCAAATGATAACATCACTCTGTCAACAAGTAAGTAGTTTCAGCCTTACTGTGATATACAGTGTGCACCCATGGCATTTAATTTAGAAGGTGAAACACACCCATTCAGTGCTGTAATAAAATATCTAAAAAACAATGTAATTGTAGATATCACAACCTTTCTGTGATTTTTTGTAAGATTAGATTAGCCAGACGCCACAGACCACTGGGTAAAAATATCGCAGTAGATTGTAGATATCAGCAAAACGAAAACAAGTCACTTTGCTCTTTGGGTCTTATATCCACTAGCATGTGAATGTTGCGAAGATGTAGCATACTATTCGGTGTTTAGAGCTGACCTTGACAAAGATAGTTTTATCCTTTATTCGAAGCCTACACATAACCAAATAACCACATATTCCTTGATGACTCCTGCTATGGCAGTATACAGTATAGGTTCTTTGGCCAATCAGAAGTAAGCTTTCGGAACGATTTGGCTTCATTACGAATCTGAGCAAAAGACAACACACACAGAAAACAACTATGCCCCCAATATTGTACACTTTTATTGTGCGCAATAACATATCCACACCAACACAAAAGCACTGTCTTTATTATTTTGCATTCATAACTACCCGATTATTCAGTCCGTGGCGAGAAGAAACAGACATGTAGTTGTGGGGTTGGATATAAGAATTGCATGTATTCACTCTAGTTGTCTTTGGTTGAAACACTCGCAAAACACCTGTATTATAATGTTGTAGTTTGTTAGCCAAATGTTTGAAACTTGGTAGGTGTTTGTCGGGGTGGAGCAGCGTTTGAGTAGGACTCTGTTGCTGTCTAAAGCGCCACTATGTGTTGTGCTTGATGGGCCTGAGCTACTATTTACATCAATCTTTTAAATGTTCCCAGCTATAAATTAGTTTTCTGTCTGTTAATTATCCATGAAATATATTGGATATATAAATAACTTTAACAACCTTCACACTACACACGGATATGCGCTTTGGTAAAAACATGTAGGTGTGTGTGTGTTTCAAACTGTTAGAACTAGTGTAAAGGGTTGTGTGTAGATCATGGTTGTTGATGACGGCCTTGTCCTTCCTTTGAAGTTGTACACAATATCCAAGCAAACTCTTTTTAGTGATTTCTACTTCACGCAAATTTTACAGAATACAATAGGCTGGCACTGTAACCAAAATTATTTTCGAACCTTTTACGACTGTACATTTCAATTTTAACGAAACGAGCAATATCTTTAAACCTAATTTGATTATCTATAGCGATACACCTGTCTTTACAAGTTCATCCTGATACATCCCACGTCTTGGTTCATCCATATATACCAAAGCCTATGTACAAGCTTTCTAACCAGGAGTTGCAAACAATTGAGTCCAAATTCGAACCATGTAATACTGACATTTATAAACACTTTTTAAAATACTAGTTTGCTGCTGATACAACTTATACAACTTACTTAATTTTCCTGACATACTGACAAGCATTAAGAGAGAAACGACCAACTCACCTCTTGCTACTATATTAGGTGTGGTTCTGCGCAAGTGCAAAATATCTTCACAGCAATTGTTATAAACACATGATATAGCTGGTGACGGAATAAAAGCTCCAAACTTCAATATCATACATTAAAACTGGCAAAGCCTTGACATCAAATATGTGCAAAAAAATGTTCGTACGGTAGATTAATAGCGTTATGAATATTAAGTCAAACAATTGTCATAACCTGCACAACTGATGCAGAGAGAGTTGTCTGGGCAACATGCCACCAACATGAGGTTAAAAAAGGGATAGGAAGATGAAGATGTATGTATAATCTGTCCCAACCAAAACAAACTTTTCCAATTTTCTGCCTTTCTAAATACCATTAGTCTTTTTCACATTACTTTTAGCTGCCATTTATTTAACAGTTAGATAACCTATCCAACCTCCTCTGCAGCAAGCCTACCACTGTAATATCCACAAATACCACGATGTCAGCAAATGATATGTTCAAATATTTAAACTAATTTATAATAATTTCATAATATGTTAAGAATACCTCTACATACCTTTGGCCATCCTCTTCCTTTAAGCATAAAGAAAAGATAGAAAGAGACATCACTATCGGACACCAAATATACAATAAAAACATTTAGCATACATATTATCAAACGAAATAGCTTACTCTTAACATTAGAAGTCCCTAATTTAGATACATGACCACTTCTAGACACATAACATGTCACAAGTAACCTCCGAAAATATTTACCTGATACCTCTCTTAATGTAAGAGGCCCGTAATTTGTTGGCATATTCTTGTCACCTTTCTTATATAAAGGTATAATAAACCCCTTGTCCATGGATCTGTATAAACACATGTTGACATTGCATTAAAGAGAGCTCGTAATAAATGTGTACAGTACCACTTAATATTTCAGGAATAACATTACAAATTTCTTCACATGAAACTTCTCGATCAAGATTAAAAAAAAAGGTCTGTAGTTGAGTCAATCAACTAATCTATAATTGAATTAACAAACTTCACACAATATACTGGTAGAAGTCGCTCTCCTCTGGCGATACATTTTGGCTTCAAACAGATTTTCAAAATATAAGGTCCACACATTTGCAAATGTTATTAGGGATATAAACGAGCTTAATAAGAGACTAAAATCATTTACTGTCTTTTGATGTTAAAGCATTTGACAAGTAATTGACCAATGGATCATCCAATGATAATATTTGTTTTAATTTCACAGAGCTCTTTGTAATATTTCCAGGCGTCGATGTAATTCGCCCAGCCAGCTGTACTGTTAGCCGAAAAGAAGGCACAAAGTTGGCGCCTCCTAAATATGCAAACCAGTTATGTCCCTTTGCTGATACACAAGTATAGTCCATGACACTAAAGTCTTTCTCAAATGCACTAGCACAGTTTATCAAAACATCTAAAGAAGGATTATATGCACTATATACTTTTATTGATCAGTTCATGAATTTATCGTTTACTTCATCTGGATATTTTTGGATATTAGGTTTAATTTACTGTAACAAATATTTAGGTCATTCACGGTACCGGTAAAAGAAAATGACACCGGAAAGTGAGTGGACTTGACTTGATCACATACTTGGAAACAATGAAAAGTTGACAGCACAATCTTGTTTGGTAAAATAGTATCATCACTGTTATATTTGAGGTCTTCATCAATTGGAATGTGTTTGGGGTCGTCATGCTTAATATAAATGGAGAAGTCAAGAAGTCAGGGTGTTAAAATCGCCGTTTAAGACGACATGGCACCCCATATATCTGACAATATTGGCTTCCAGAACACTAACATGTTTTCGTGAGAGTAATCACTGGATCCACAGGGTGAGAAGTATATCACGCCTAGCATATCATTAGAAGGAATCTCGTACTTCATCCACATCGCATTAATAGAACTGCTCTGTAAAACTGTCATAAAAATTGAATTAGCCTGTTTATCCAGGACTAAAGTTCCACCTGAGTTCTGCATTCAATTCGAACAAGCAAGTCCAAACATGATATTTTGAAATAGTCGATAAATACTTGCTTGCACAAATGTTGTTGTTTTATAAGCATTTGAAATTCCAAAATGAAAAATGTAATGTTTTCAAGGAGTGTATCTAACAAGGAGTGTCGTATCCATCTATGCATGCCATTCGACTATGACAAAGCTCAATGTACATTTTGCCAACAGCATCTCAGTAGGGAACAGATGCAAAATCTATTCCAGGCAAACTTATAAGTACGTATTTATAGGCTGTCTATGAAGATAAAGGTGTGCATATATGTCCATTGTGAGATTGGGATTAACTTGAATGTTATGAAAGAAAGAATACATTCAGAAATATGATTCATTAAAGAAATCTTTAAACATAGAAACAGCTGAAACAGCTTGATTTACTTCATGTGATTAACCTCACATGATTTTGCCTTTCTCAGTGAATATTGTAGTTTCAGCGTTTGAACATACGAGGCTACTTTTTTAATAACTGCATTCTTTGAAGCTATCATACTGTATAAAGATGCATTTGTATTTGTAATTTATTTATACACTTTCAGGTACGTGTGAACGGTGCTCATCTCTTAAAGTCGAATATAAACAATACAGCTCTGATCCAAAAAGTTCTATCAGTCACCCAGAGGGAAGCATTGTCACTGGTCCACACAGCTTTTTCGTTCACGCAGACAGAAGCATCATCACTGGTCCAGGAAAGAATAAGGAGGTCAAGAAGAGGAAGAAGAAGATCCTCCATGACATAGAGAAGAACGTGTCAGCTCTCAGGAACACGCACGGGGGACAACTGCTGGTTCACCTACACGGACAGAAGGAGGGAGACAGGTATCTTGAGTACTTCCATGAATTTGTGGACAAAACTCTACAGGACCTGATTGAGTGTGGATCATCTTATGTGGATAATTATCGCACGACATGGTTGCATGAGACACCAGGCTTTGAAAACTATGAAGATGTTTTATTGATAGATGTAGCTCGCACATGTGGAATTTCAACGGCAAGTGTAAGCACCAAGATAAGCAATGACTGTGAGAACACAAATCCAACAACGTTGAATTTAGTTTCCTTACTCGCACATTCTCGACACGAGGCATCACGTGGTGCACCTGATTTAAAGGGAATTGATCAAGACAGGCTGCAGCTGTACCAAGAATCTCAGAAGATTGAACTGAAACAATTCCGTCCAAAGACTGCCATCGCTCATGTGCAGTATATTTGGGAAGATCTTAAACTCAAGGACAATATAACGTCCATGTCTAAAGTTTCTGGTGGAGGGTCATATTATTTGGGAGTAGCGGAAAGAGAGGTCACGGAGAATGGTTACAAGACTAAAGTACCCAATTTTGTCGGTTTTCAGGTAAATAATCCAGAAGAACTTAAGGAAGCTCTTTTCAGGAAGGTAGAGGAGGAACTTTGTGTGTTATATTTTACTGGTGAATTTGGTGACCCACCGTCTGATCTCGTCAAGATAGGAATCCATAGACTTCCTGACGAAGGGAACAAGTGTGTACTGGAAGTAGCAGTGAGATTCTTTGGAGGAATTGTCTTCTATGACAAACAGGGGCCAAGAACTTATGAAATACAGAATTATGATATATGCAGAATGGAAAGGACTGAGTGGCTACGAAGAATCCGGCAGCTCCCTTCATGGAAAGGGATACAAACAATGAGGTAGAGACTGAGAGCGAACACAATCTAAACACACAGATAAAAGACGTGCAGTAAATACACTGACTGTTTTCTTATTAAATGCAAGCCTTTAGAGACTGAGAGCGAACACACTTTAACGTCATAGAGAGATTTCTAGATAAAAGATGTGAAGTGAAGACCACCAAGTTGTGTCCTTATTCTATGCAAGGTATGATGAGGACCTCACAAACAATACTATTTAGTTATGCATTGCTGTCAGTACACGATGGTTGACTTAATACATGAATGTCAATTCCATGAGAATTCATGAATACCAAGACAATTCAACACTCTTGTGTCACTGGGAAAGTATTCCATGATAGGAATCAAAGAGCGCTATCCCACAGAAGTCAGCATGTTGTCCACCGAGAGTGAACACTCGGATTTGTCCAGCACCTACAGCTCTGACGGGGAGGTCCAACACTCCATCACCAGACGAAGGCTGACAACAGGGCTCAAGTATCTGGACATTAATGGTAGGGGTATATCTCGTAATGGATTCAGAAGTTTGTAATTGGCTTTTACAAAACAGTAACTGATGAAGGTGTTCATGGAGTCAGCCCAACAGGTGCCTTTTGCTAATTTGCATGGAAACAGATTCTAACGGGGGTAGGATTTGTTTCCAGGCCATGACTTGAAAACTATGTAACTGGTATATGCACTGATCGTCAGCTTAACAGACTTGTGCTATTAATTTTAATTATTTAAAATGTTTGTTCTTGCGTTATTTGCCCTTGATCCCTCACTTTCCATCTCGTCGATACACCTTCACTTATTTATGTGTTGTTCACGATATGGCTGAAATATTGCCGATGTGACGTTAAATCACTCACTACAGATACTTTTCTAGGAGGTACCTACATTATTCAATGTGTGAATATTTTATTTGGTATTGTGCATTTGCCATGGGTGGTGTCAGAAAAGGAAAAATCTTGCACAAATATGTTCCGTGTTCATTTATCATATTGGTTTGTAACCAGTGCCGATTACGACCGACGTTTATTCATTGTGGGCAGGTAAAACATGCTCATATATATTTTATAGCAGAAATTTCCTTAACCCAATGTGTCGTGTCAGGATAAATATAAGGCTGAGATTTTATTGATCATCGAACATCATTCTTCCAACTTTATGGCTTTATCTCAGCCAAGCAATATCTCCTGTGGGAGCCAGCTTTGGATGATAAAATAATAATGTTTGATTGAGGTGAATAATTAATTTAGTTGAAAAAGAATGGACAATTCAATATATTTATAAAGATATTTAGTTATGCAGAGTTGTCAATATCAAATGTAAAAACACTATGACAGTACAGGAAAATGTGTCTTTATTGCATGTCCGTTATATAATCCCTATCCCACAGAAGTTTGGAAAACCTTAAGAGTTTTTTCTACTGAACATAAAGATACTGATTGTTTATTATGGGTACATGTTCTTGCACAATAGAATCCATCGTCCAAACGTGTGTTACGGGTTCAATTGTCTTATCTGCCATAAAGAGTCAACATGGCATCAATTGCTGCTTCATAAATGCATTAATCAGAACCTGTACTTGCTTTGTTTTGCTATTGACGTTTTTTGGGATTTGTAAACATTTTTAAAGGAACAACTTGAACAAATGTATAAAACCAGGAGGGGGAACGTGCTTAGCCTGACACAACACATTGTACGTTCCTTCTTTACTTCGAAAATATAACTCAGAACCCAAAATGTTTTTCTTCTACCCCGACTGCACCTTGCCCCTGGTTACCAATCGAGCGTTATTTGCCCTTGATCCCTCACTTTCCTCAGATAGGGATACGCCTTCGCGTGTTGTTTTATGTTCTGTAAGATCCAGTCTTTCACAGATACTCGTCACATTAGGGCTGAAATATTGCCGATGTGACGTTAAATCCTAAATCACTCAATAACTACAGATACCTTTCTAGGAGGCGACTGCTTTATGCAATGTGTGAATATTTCATTTTGGTATTGTGCATTTGTCATGGGTGGCGTCAGAAAAGGAAAACTCTTGCACAAATCATTGCCGATTACGACCGACTTTTATTCATTGTGGGCAGGTAATACGTGCTCATATATATTTTATAGCAGAAATTTCCTTAACCATCTTTAACAATAGATGAGTCACGAATATCAATGACGATGTGAGGGCAGCCTTACTGACTGCTAGACTGATATTAACGTGGCCCCTTGGGAGCCACAGTGGTTACCGGAGATGCACAAGTTTTACGTCATTGCATATCTTGCATCTAGAGCAACGAGGGAATGCTTTCCATTGTTTCTGTCTACTCTCGTCATTAAGCAAATAAAATGTACGAGATTTGAAGCCTTCGTTTTCCCTCCATGTAGTCCCAGTCGAATTTAGTCATTTTTCTTCCACCGACAGTCGGAGGAGTCATTTCCTTTAGTCACGTCCACATCTTTCACATCTGTATGTGTTATTCATTGTTGGAAAGGTAAATAAATGTTAATATATTGTCGTATCTGGTTACCATGAACTGGATACTGATGCTGTCAGTATACTAATCCCGTCATAATCAGCATCAGCCCCGCCCATCTGTCTGGATATCAAGCTTATGCCGAGTGTTGATAAGAAGGTAGTGAGGGATAACCCCCAATGTGTTGTGTCAGGATAAATATAAGGGTGATATTGTATTTATCATCCAACATCATTCATCCAACTTTTTCAGTTTGTAGACTGTAATAAGCAGTGTCTTAAGTGTAAATTTACTGCTAACAGCTTCAGTAGCAGAGCCATTAGTGATGTCATTTGATTGTGACACATGACGTCACAGTGGTCTGCAAGGTATTGTGATGCAATTTCGTTGCAGCGATATCTACTGTGTAGATATCGCTTTATCTCACCCAGCGATATCTCCAGGGGGAGCCAGTTTTGGATGTTAAATTATTTTATTTTTTGTTAAGGTTAATAATTGATTCAGGTGAAAAGAATGGAAAGTTCGGAAAACAGTTCAATATATTTATAAAGATATTTAGTTATGCATTGTTGTCAATATCAAATGAAAAACACCAAGACAGTACAGGAAAATGTGACTTTATTGCATGTCCATTATATAATCCCTATCCCACAGAAGCCAGCATGTCGCCCAGGGAGGTGCAGCACTCCACAACCAGGCCACAGGGGGCAGCAGGGGTAAATTATCTGGACTTTGATGGTAAGGGGTGTATCAAGAGCAAATACAATCTAAAGCCATAAGGAAATGCGTAGATTATGGAAGTTATGTAGTGCAATCTACCTAATTGTTTTCTTGTTTCATGTGTGGTATGGTGAAGTTCCTCATAAACAAAGATAATAAGTAGTGCATGGTTGTAAATATTAAATGTAAGACGCCATGATTTGCTTAAGACTAGGACGTGAAATCTATAAAGAGGAAACAGCAAAATGTGACTTTATTGTGTGTCTGGTGTCACTTGGAAAATTCCATTATATTAATCAAAAAGTCCTGTCCCACAGAAAGTGACGACTCGGATTTGTCCAGCACCTACAGCTCTGACATGGAGGTGCAGCACTCCATCACCAGACCAAGGCCGATAGCAGGGGTCAAGCCTCTGGCCATTGATGGTAGGGGTGTTTATATGATTGGATTCAGAAGTTTGTCACTGGCTTTTACATAACATTTGAGGTGTTCATGGAGTGCCCTTCGGAAAACCATTGAACATGTTTATTTTTAGGTATGGTTTTTAATTGTATATGTAAAACACTATCATTGTCTTAAACTTTAGACGTTATTTAATATTGTGCGAGAATGCAGCAAACTGTGACTGTATTGTGTCTTCATCATATATGTATAAATCAATAAGCTGTATCCCAGTCAGCATGTCGTCCAGGGAGGTGCAGTGCCGCGTCACTAGACCAGAGAGGACTGGCTTTAGTCTGGACTAGTACAATCCGCCACACACGCACACAAATTCACACGTGCATGCACATTGCTATATAATAATAATCCTGACACAACGTTAAACATCATCAATATCATTATCACTGTGCATTTATTTACACATGCTTATTTTTACGTACACAGTCTGAGGTTGTTAGTTTTGTCTTCAGTTTTCAACATTTGATATATTTGTTTCAGATTGGGAGAGATCATTTGTGAAGACAGCTGCCTACCAGGAAGTCCGAGACCAGCTACAACAACACAACCTGGTGATGCTGACTGGTGGTCCTGGGGAAGGTAAGACCACAATAGGACACATGCTGTGTTATGACTACCAGCAACAAGGATACATCACATTCTTCTCCAGCAGATGGGAGGACTTGAAAAGGGATGCATTCGAGGCAACTAAACCTACACTGGTGGTGGTTGATGAGATGGGAGATGAGATACACAAGGAAGAGATTGATGACATGGGAGATGAGATACACAAGGAAGAGATTGATGACATGGGAGATGAGATACACAAGGAAGAGATTGATGACATGGGAGATGAGATACACAAGGAAGAGATTGATGACATGGGAGATGAGATACACAAGGAAGAGATTGATGACATGGGAGATACCTCGGGATGTTTAAACTTGGTCGATGGGATACGCAACAAAATTAATACCAACAAGCTTGTTCGTGTTGTTATTATATACCCGACCTGCAAACGAGACGCCTTCAATCCAAAGATGGACATAACACAGATAGGAAGACAGAACTGGGACAGAACAAAGCAGGAATATTCCCAGATGCTGCAGATGCAGAGAGGCATTCCATCAGACACACGGGAGGAGATCATAGCTAACCTTCCTTCATATGTCGGTTTCCCCAAGGTCATGAAACACTTCTGTCAAGACAGATCTACCATAGATCCCATAACATTTTTCACATATCCTCACTCACATTTCAGAAAAGAAATAGAAAGATTACTTACAAATGATGATTATTCGGCTGCAATAATTCATATTTTGGTTTCAGGGAACAAAGTGAAAGACAACTATCGATATAAGTATGAAAGTGATGGAAGTGATGAGAGTGATGAAAGTGATTATTGGGGTTATGGACGTGATGACAGTGATGATGAGTTTGAGTCTCTCTTTCCTGGAGTAAAAACATGTGATATTCCTGACAAGTTACACACATTGTGTGCCACCTATCTATGTCAGTCTGGCAACAATTTTAGATTCACAGAGCCTGTCATATATGACGCCTGTGTGTTTGTTGTTGACAACATGTTTCCTGGATCTCTATGGAAACGCTGCAAAGTTTTATATGAAACTGACAACAAACAATCTCTCACAGACTTACCTGATAAAACCATCTTCATCTCCAGACACAACAAAGACATTTTTCTGACACAGCTGGTAGAAGACACGAGGAGAGGGAAGTTCAGACACACATTCTCTCACCCAGTTCTCAGCAGGGAAGACAACATAGACGGGTTCGTGACACAGCTCGGGGACGGTTTTGTGGATGTTCTACATTTACAGGATACAGCTGATTCTTCCACTGATTCAGGGAGCTTCTTGTACTGGGTCCTACAGTCTGGCACTGATTACCTGTGTCAGAAGGTGTTACAGAAACAGGAACTGTCACAGGTACATGTCAGTGAAGGACTGGCTTGTTGTATCAGACTATATGACACCAAGTCCTTCCTGTATCTACGACAGCAGCTGATTGGACTGCAGAGGGGAGATATCACAATTACACCAGACTATACAGATGCTGATGGAAACTCTCTTCTTATGATGTCTGTGGACAGGAATAATGCAAAAATGGTCAACAGCTTACTGAAAGATGATGCAGAGTCTCTGATCAAGAACAAAGTCGGAAATTCTGCCCTCCATTCGGCCTGTTTGAGGGGATATACATATGTTGCCAAGTTACTGCTTCCCCACATGGAGACCTGGAAGAATCTGCCAGGACAGGACTTGAGAACACCAGTCATGATGGCTGCACTGAAAGGTCATGGTCGGCTGTATGAGTATCTGGCAGATGAAGGGAAGTGTGACCTGGATGGTGTTGATGATAACGGTGATACTATCGCACATCTGGCATGTCAGGGCGGTAGTGTCCACATTGTCGACCATCTGATATCCAGGAAGCAGTTTGACATCAACCAGAGAGGCCAGTATGGAAAGACACCTCTGATGATTGCAGCATGCAGCGGCAACAGAGATGTGATTGAGTTACTTCTGTCACAGAACTGGCACATCTCTCCAGAGGGCTTCAGTATGTCTGAGACACTCTCTTGTGGACATGTTGGTGACTGCCTCAACATGTTACTTGGGGAGGCGAGTTATCTGCTTCACACAGCAGCAGAAACAGGGAACGTGGAGCTGGCAGAGTTCCTCCTGTCAAAGGGCAAGGTTGACATCGACATGCGGGATGCCATCGGGAGGACTCCAGTGATGTTAGCAGCAGCTGCAGGACACAGACACATGTTTGAGTTTCTAACTAAAAAACAGTGTGACTTGTCATTAAAGGATAAAATGACACGTGGAGTTCTCCACTACGCCAGTGAAGGGGGAAACTTGGGTATTGTACAGGATGTGGGATGTAAGGATGTAAACGAGACAGACATATATAATCAAACACCTGTGTCGTATTGTGTAAAGAGAGGACATAAACACATTTTTGACACATTGTTGAACACAGGAGGAGATCTGTCTGTTGTAGACACTGACAAGAACACACTGCTACATCTGGCATCCAAGGGAGGTAACCAGGCTATAGTGGAGCATCTCCTGTCATCAGGGACGTTTGACATAAATGCTGTGAACAGAGACAGGAGAACACCCCTGTTGGTGGCAGCATACAGTGGACACACAGACATCTGTCAGCACCTGATTGTTGTCGGAGCTGATGTACACAGACAGGACAATTATGGGAATGATGTGATACTTTTTGCTGCTCAGACAGGGAATCTCCAGCTGGCTGAGTATGTTTTGTCTGTGAAGAAACGAGTTCACTTTGTACAGGACAAACATGGGAAAACAGCAGCAATGTGGGCAGCAGAGAGAGGGGATGCTGACATGTTTACGCTGATGAGTAAAGGGTGTGATCTCTCCGTAAAGAATGTCGAAGAAAACAGCATCCTTCATTTCGCTTGCACAGGAGGAAATGTAGATATAGTGAAATCTGTTGTTTCACAAGACAAAGTCTGCTACAATGGAAGAAATACATTTCAAGAGACACCAGTGTTGAGAGCAGCATATTGGGGACACAAGGCAGTGTTTGACCTACTTGTGAGTAAAGGATGTGCCATGACAGTGAAGGATAAGCATGGTGACAACATCCTTCATAAGGCTTGTGAGGGAGGCAATGTAGAGATTGTAGAGTACATTGTCTCTCATAACATAGTTGACATCAACAGTACAGGTTATGCCAGCAGAACACCAGTGATGATGGCAGTGTCGGGGAGACACAAGGCAGTGTTTGACCTACTTGTGAGTAAAGGATGTGACCTGACAGTGGAGGATTCGTATGGTTACAACATCCTTCATAGGGCTTGTGAGGGAGGCAATGTTCAGATTGTAGAGTACATTGTCTCTCATAACATAGTTGACATCAATAGTACAGGTTATGGTGAGAAAACATCACTTGATATCGCAGAAGAACAAGACGATGATGAAATGTTTGATATTCTGAAGCAATTTGGTGCAGTGCGAGAAGTGTGTCCATGTTGTCCATGAAAACCACCTTTGCCCTGACACTTGACAGGCTTGTTCTCACCAATTTGTCCAAAGGGATGTCGTCCGGTCCCCATGCTGACCATAATGAAGAAAACCACTTGTGGCCAATGTTGTCACAAAAATGAAATTTGGTATATACATAGTTCTCTTTTTGTGATATTTTAAATTTTGACCATTATTTGGCTTTCAGTATTTCGACCATGCTCATTAATGTTCTCACAATGTGCTGTAGGCTTTGTAAAAACTGAAACTTAACATGCTTGGTCCAACAGTGGTGATACCTTACTTTGCGTAAGAGCAACCACGTCGAGTATATTTATGACCATTATTCAGCCATTTTTGTCCAAAGTATGATATTTTATGCAACATATATGTAGATGGTAGTGGGACTGCCATATGTGTTGTTTTTTTGCAGTACAATATATTTTGAAATTTGCACTTTGACTCTGCTCCTATATTCTCTCAAAATGCATCTCCGATTCTTTGTGGTGTTACATGTTATGTTTTATGCTAATTGTTTACCTTGATTTGCACTTTGATCATGGTCTTATTTTCTCTCGAAATGCATGTCCTTGTTCAGAAAACATCTGAAGCTCAACTATCTTTTTGTTTTGTTTTGATGAAATCATATTTTCCGGCAATCAATAGAATTTAGAATTAGTTTAAAGTCCTCAGTATTTATGAAGGAAATATTTGAATGTCAAAGCTAACAGCAACTTGTGTCATGTGGCCATCTTTGGTGAGGCAATATACACTCTTCAAAAAAAGAAACGCAAAGTAAAAAAATAAGGTTATTTATTAAGCGGATGTAAAAGTATCTACACAGAATATGCGTAAACACAATCTAATGAAATTAGACACGGTGATCGACAAAAGCATTGTCGTCATTGTCAGCATAAATATAGTTCAGTCATTGCACATGTGTAGCCACAAGGGGGCGTCATGGTCAGTACCTGGTCACACCACCTCTTGCAGCCGTCACTGCTCGACACCTCCTTGGCACAAATTGCACAAGTCGTCGCATTCTTTCGTGGGGAATTCTTCGCAGTTCCTCCTGTAAGGCGTTGGCGAGTTGTGCCAGTGAGTGGGGACGTTGGTGACGTTGACGAACGCGTCGATCAAGTTTGTCCTACAAATGTTCAATCGAGTTCAGATCAGGCGATTTAGGCGGCCATGGAAGGACATTGATGTTCTCATTAACAAGGAAATTAACTGTTGCACGTGCTGTGTGGGGCCGAGCGTTGTCATGTTGGAACAGCTCCCTCAGGCGGTCCAAGTTGGGAGGAGGTGATGCCGCAGCATTTGGTCTATGTATCGATTTGCTGTAAGATTGCCCTGGACAACCACTTACTGTGATCTACCCGTGTAGGATATGGCTGCACAGACCATGACACCCCCTCTACCAAACCAGTCTGACTGTCGAACACAGTTCGACGCAAAACTTTCATGCCGACGTCGGTATATACGTTGTCTCCCATCCCGTCGTTGAAGAAGAAAACGTGACTCATCGCTGAACCAAAAGCATTGCCAGTTCCTGAGATCCCATGCCTGCACCACTGGACACCTCGTTGACGATGTAGACGTTGCAAGACAACTTTTGGTCGTCTCGCTCGAATTCCCACTTCCCTCAGACGATTTCTGATGGTTTGGTCAGAAATACTTCGCATACAAGGTCCTGCAGTGTCCGTTGCTGTAGCAAATCAATTCAGAAGGTGATGCAACCGGATGTACCGATCCTGAGCAGGGGTGGTCACTCTTGGTCTTCCACTTCTGGGATGATCTTGAGTCGAATAAATGCCGGTATATCGATGCCATAGTCGAGATATGGTGCTTCGGTGAAGGTTGAAGTGTCTGGCAACTGCTTCTAGACGTCAAATGGCGATATTTCGGTCAACTGCAGTTAATCTTGTCATTTTTCGATCTACGTTCACGTCAAAAATTTCGTAATGAACTGATGAATTTTGTACGTTTTTTTTATAGTCAGTGTCTCTACTCTTATGTCCAAACTTTTGCACGTGCATTGTGCTGAACACTTTTCTGAAAGCAATTTCCGTGCATCCTTTGCATTTTAGCTGATAATCGTTTACAAAAAAACATCTTGATATGTGCACAACAAACATGATATGATTAACGGGTATCAAACATAAGAATTGTCTTTATGACGACTCCTGGGAATAAATCTAATTGGAATTCTCAAAACACCTATGCGTTTCCTTTTTTGAAGAGTGTATATTTGATTCCCCTGTTGGCAGTTAATTAATACACCTGAACAAGTGTGGAGGTGACTGTACATTTCCACATATGACAAAAAGTGTATATCCCGTCTTACTTTGTATATATTGTGTTACATTGTATATCTTGTGTCATATTGTATATCTAGTGTTACATTGTCTTTCATGTTACATTGTGTATTCAGTGTTACATTGTATGTCTTGGGTCATATTGTATATCTAGTGTTACATTGTATATATTGTGTCATATTGTATATCTTGTGTCATATTGTATATCTAGTGTTACATTGTATATATTGTGCCATATTGCATATCTTGTGTCATATTGTATATCCAGTGTTACATTGCCTTTCCTGTTACATTGTGTATTCAGTGTTACATTGTATATCTAGTGCTACGATGTATATCTAGTGTTACATTGTATATCTTGTGTCATATTGTATTTCTAGTGATACATTGTATATCTTGTGTCATATTGTATATCTAGTGTTACATTGTATGTCTAGTGTTACATTGTATGTCTATTGTTACATTGTATATATTGTGTCATATTGTATACCATGTGTTACATTGTATATATTGTATCATATTGTATATCCTTTCCAATTGTATTCTGAACCAAATTAAAAACTACACAATTCTAAACTTTTAACATTTTGACCAGTTATAATTGTCGGCCCTTATTGTGTATTTAAACAGTAATCGTCACGTATTGTAACACCCGTTTTTTGTGCAGGTGAATCGATCAAAATCATGTGCACAGCACTACTGTGGCAAAAGTGTTTTTTCACGTGCAACTCGTCACGTGGCCATGATACCGCATGTGTTTTCAGCCATACTTGTTAGCATTCATTAACGAAAAAAAGAAAAACACATGAAAACAAAAGTCTTTACGGCCATTTTTCATGCCACGCCTTTCATATGTGCAACGTGAACGTGCCATCGGCATGTTGCAGACGGGAACGTCCGTAGCTGAAGTCGCAAGGACGATGGGTTGTAGTCGACGGACTGTTTATGATTTACAGACGCGTCTACAGCAAACGGGTACCACCGCTGATCGCCATCGGCCAGGTCGACCACGTGTTACCATTTAGTTGCTAAAGTTTCTTTTTGACGTCAGTTTATATACCCTGTTACATTGTATTTTTCCCTGTTACATGCTATATACCCTGTTACATTGTATATTCCCTGTTGCATACTATATACCCTGTTACACCCTATGTAAGTTGTCCCACCAAACATATGTTTTGTACAAAGTGACCTGATACTGTAATAATGCCAGTAACATCGTGGTGTTGCTGGTATTTCATGACACATTGTGTAACAGTTCTAGTTATTTGACAACCTTCAATTACGTCCTCTGCTTCTGTGTATCACATGACCCGAGTCAGTGCTGTGAGAAGCATGCGGTGATCTAACAATCCAACAGCTGGTATAGGGAGATACTTCTGAAAGATACACAGAAGTGTGGGGTACACAGGAAGAACATGTGGTAATTTTCCACGTGTATATTCAACAGGTGTTCACATTTACAAATTGCTCATACTATTGAAACACGAGCAGGTACTGCTGTAACTGTGTATATATTTTTCACGTGACATTTGCTTTTTGTAACATTGGTCAAATAAAACACTTAACTCCATCAGGAATCTTCCTTCAGTCATTGATATGATATGGCTTAAACTACAGAGGATTCTATCCTGTCCTAATGTGCAACACATACATATAGAATACTAAACGAGCCCCCGTGTAATACCAATTTTATGAAACTCGTGAATAGTTGTGGTATCTGACTCGCTTTCGCTCGTCAGATACCACAACTATTCACGAGTTTCATAAAATTGGTTTTACACGAGAGCGAGTTTAGTATTTTATTTATTACTTGTCATTTATATAATGTTTTTAGAATTATACTGTTGAGTGTAAATAGGCTGACACCTTCACGATCTTTGTTATAATCCAATTGAGTTTAACAGAATAATACTTCAAACACGTCAAAAGTTGAAACGTATTAATTTAATATCATACAATGGTCCACCTTTCGAATTCAGGCGTTCGTCCCACAAAATTATCGTAGTGCTAAGGCTATCACAACTCACATAATTTAACTTAGACTAACGACTGTCGTTGCGCTAGAGTACGCCTTGTGGCCTTCCACGCCTTGTGGAACGGGGCCTTGTACCTCAAAGTTTACAATCACGTCACAATACCCGATGACGTAATTTGTTGATTTTTATTGCAAGATCCATCGGCGAAACAATGCCATGTGACGTCAGCCTAGCAACAAGGTTGCTGGGGTCATCGAGTGTGCATAAGCTCCTCCCAGTGATCTATCATCTCCACACACAATATCGTTGAATAAGCCAAGGGATGTTGAGAGCTTTCAATATTTGTTCGTGAAACGTGTTCCGAGAGTACATAAGCACGCGTTTTGGTATTACACAATGTGTAATAAAGCTGTATGTTTATTAAACGGGTGATCTCTTCACGGGCAAGTAATAAAACTAATTCTCACATTCGTCACAACATGAGTCGATGTTGGACACATCCTACATTTACGTCATCAGTCTATAGAGACCCACATCCATCACTCATTCATCACATCAGGAGTCGATGTTGAACACATCCTACCTTTACGTCATCAGTCAATATAGACACACATCCATCACTCACTCTCTCACTCATCACATCAGTAGCCGATGTTGAACACATCCTTCCTTTACGTCATCAGTCGATATAAACCAACATCCATCACTCACTCTCTCACCCATCCCATCCTACCTTCAAGCCATCAGTTGATAGAGACCCACATATACTGTCAATATGTGTGGTTGTGTGTCTCAGACTTAAGTAACTGAAGGACCTTCTGGTGGTGTGAGTTATTCTGTCAATATGTGTTGTTGGGTGTCTCAGACTAAAGTAACTGAAGGACTTTCTGGTGGTATGAGTTATTCTGTCAATATGTGTGGTTGTGTGTCTCAGACTTAAGTAACTGCAGGACTTTCTGGTGGTGTGAGTTATTCTGTCAATATGTGTGGTTGTGTGTCTCAGGCTAAAGTAACGGAAGGACTTTCTGGTGGTGTGAGTTATTCTGTCAATATGTGTTGTTGGGTGTCTCAGACTAAAGTAACTGAAGGACTTTCTGGTGGTATGAGTTATTCTGTCAATATGTGTGTTTGAAATTCTCATAATGAGGTCTGACTTAGTGAATTGTTTGTCTGGTGGTGTCAATATTCTGTCAATATGTGACTATGAATGGTGTGACTTTGTCCGATTGTGACTCCTGTGAGATTGGACTCCTTAATTAAACAGAAAACAAGTCATTATTTGAGTTTGTTTTATTCTCTTGTTTTTGTTCCTCGGACTTCCGTTCCTTTTCTGATGATCTTCATCAGTGTTCAATAATCTCAGCTGGATAAACCTACACTAACATACATGGCTTTATACCTCCAGCAGTTGTCTCCCTTACATCGGCTAGGTGCTCAGTAATATCAAATGGATAAACCTACGCTATCTGCATGGCTCTAAATACACAGCAGTTGTTTCCCCTGATGTATCAGAACTTATTTTACTGCTACTTATGCGAACATTATTGTCTTTCTAGGAGAGACAAAAATTATTCAGGGGAGATAACTACAGCTGAATAGAAATAAGTGCAGCTGAAACGGAGACAAATAAATCAGGGGACGTAAAAGTAAAGGTAGTGAGATGACTGTTTTTGAAGAGCAGTCAAATTATTACTCGGGGGAATAACAATGTACTAAGGGGAATAACTGTGTACTAAGGGAAATAACTGCATCCAGACCACTTATAGATCAGGGGAGACAACTGTCTCTGAACACAGCTGAAGGTGGTGCTACACAACTACCCTGGCAGCTGTAACTGAAGGACGAACTAAAATCAAATGAAAAAGTGGATGAGTGTAATACATAGACATAATCACAACCTTGCACATAACATGACCAATAAAATATAAATAGATTGTGTGTGATATGGTTGTCCCAGTAAACAGGGCACCTGCTGTAGATTCTGGATGGACAGTGTGTTGGGTCTGACTTGATATCCTGCTCCTAGTGTCAAGCATGCTCACAGTAGATCTTCTTCAGGTCTGACTTGATATCCTGCTCCTAGTGTCAAGCATGCTCACAGTAGATCTTTTTCAGGTCTAAATGATATCCTGCTCCTGGTGCCAAGCATGCTCACAGTAGATCTTTTTCAGGTCAGACTTGATATCCTGCTCCTCATGTCAAGCATGCTCACAGTGGATCTTCTTCAGGTCTGACATGATATCCTGCTCCTAGTGCCAAGCATGCTCACAGTAGATCTTCTTCAAAGTTCAAAGTTCTTCAAACTGGAGTATTTTGACATTAAAATGTTGCCAGTTGAGGAATGTTTTATGACAGAGGCTAATTCTTGACATTTTGCTATACAGCTGATACAAACTGAAGTATTACCTGGTCACAATAATGTCATGACCAACATGTTTGATGTGTGGCCTGTTGTTGTGGCATAGTTCGATAGATGCTGCCAGGGAGAGAGAGAGAGTGAAGGAACCACAGATGGAAGGATGACAGAAAAAGAAGATACAGTGAAAAATCTGTACGCATACAGTGCGATGCCCTCTCTTGATGACCTACAGACCAGACACTGGAAACAATGTTACTGACGGTGACTGAAATCAAGAGGATGTTGCTGTCTTTGGGTGACGATAGAGGAGAAACATCTGTGGCCTGATATGAGAGCTGTATATGCTGACATCAGCAAATGCTTGGACCTAGTCCGTCCTCCTGTATGTCATGTAAAACAATGACTGAAGGTGTTCAGATCGGAGGCCTGAATTTCTGTCTAAAACTATCCCCGGTGCTGGCTACACTGTCGATATAGAGAAAATTATGTTACTAATAGACTGACAGTGTCCAGATCGGAGGCCTGAATTTCTGTCTAAAATTGTTACTGGTGCTGGCTACAATGTCGATATAAAGAAAATTATGTTACTAATGGACTGACAATGTTCAGATTGGAATTTCTGGACTACAAAGACCCACAGCAGATACAGAGGACGTGGTGTACAACCAGTGTTGGCTACAGTGTAGATACAGAGGGCGTGGTGTACAACTAGTGTTGGCTACAGTGTAGATACAGAGGACGTGGTGTACAACTACTGCTGGCTACAGTGTAGATACAGAGGACGTGGTGTACAACCAGTGTTGGCTACAGTGTAGATACAGAGGACGTGGTGTACAACTAGTGCTGGCTACAGTGTAGATACAGAGGACGTGGTGTACAACCAGTGTTGGCTACAGTGTAGATACAGAGGTCGTGGTGTACAACTAGTGCTGGCTACAGTGTAGATACAGAGGACGTGGTGTACAGCTAGTGCTGGCTACAGTGTAGATACAGAGGACGTGGTGTACAACCAGTGTTGGCTACAGTGTAGATACAGAGGTCGTGGTGTACAACTAGTGCTGGCTACAGTGTAGATACAGAGGACGTGGTGTACAACCAGTGTTGGCTACAGTGTAGATACAGAGGACGTGGTGTACAACTAGTGCTGGCTACAGTGTAGATACAGAGGACGTGGTGTACAACTAGTGCTGGCTACAGTGTAGATACAGAGGACGTGGTGTACAACTACTGCTGGCTACAGTGTAGATACAGAGGACGTGGTGTACAACTAGTGCTGGCTACAGTGTAGATACAGAGGACGTGGTGTACAACCAGTGTTGGCTACAGTGTAGATACAGAGGACGTGGTGTACAACTAGTGCTGGCTACAGTGTAGATACAGAGGACGTGGTGTACAACCAGTGTTGGCTACAGTGTAGATACAGAGGTCGTGGTGTACAACTAGTGCTGGCTACAGTGTAGATACAGAGGACGTGGTGTACAGCTAGTGCTGGCTACAGTGTAGATACAGA